AGTTTGTTGCTGGGGTGATGGGGGTCTTTCAGTATCCTATAAGCCTTCTTCCTACAACGCTGGGTGTAGAGGTCCTCCATGGATGGTAGCTCCGTCCTGGTGATGTGCTGAGCAGATTTCACCACCCTCTGTAGAGTCTTACGGTTGAGGGCGGTGCAACTGCCATACCAGGCCGTGATGCAGCCGGTCAGGATACTCTCGATGGTGCACCTGTAGAAGTTGCAGAGTATCCTGGAGTCCATGTTGAACCTCCGCAGCCTGCGAGCCGCTGACGAGCTGTCTTTGTGATGACTCTGGTGTGATGAGTCCATGTCAGGTCCTCAGTGATGTGAACCCCGAGGAACCTGAAGCTGCTGACTCTCTCCACAGGAGTCCCGTGGATGGTGATGGGGGCGTGTCCATCTCTCTGCTTCTTCCTGTAATCCACAATCAGCTCCTTGGTTTTGCTGACGTTGAGATGGAGGTTGTTCCAAGATGTCAGGGCTCTGACCTCCTCTCTGTAGGCCGTCTCGTCGCCGTCKGTGATCAGGCCGATGACGGTGGTGTCGTCAGCAAACTTGATGATGGTGTTGGAGCTGTATGTGGCCACGCAGTCGTGCGTGAACAGGGAGTAGAGGAGAGGGCTGAGCATGCAACCCTGCGGGGCTCCGGTGTTGAGGGTCCGGCTGGAGGATGTGATGTTCCCCATCCGCACTGCCTGGCATCTGCCCGTCAGGAAGTTCAGGATCCAGTCACAGAGGGCGCTGTTTAGCCCGAGGTCCCTGAGCTTGATGACGAGCTTGGAGGGCACAATAGTGTTGAATGCTGAACTGTAGTCAATGAACAGCATCCTCACATACGTGTTCCTCTGGTCCAGGTGGGAGAGGGCAGTGTGGAGGGTGAGGGTGATGGCRTCGGCTGTGGACCTGTTCTCYCTGTAAKCAAACTGCAGGGGGTCCAGTGAGTCGGGGAGGGAGGAGGTGATGAACTGTTTGACTAACCGCTCAAAGCACTTCATGATGATGTGAGTGCAACTGGGCGGTAGACGTTGAGGCAGATGGTTTTTGTCTTTTTAGGGACTGGAATGATGGTGGACTCTTTGAAACAAGTGGGGACTATAGAATGGAGCAGTGACTTATTGAAGATGCATGTGAACACCTCTGCCAGCTGAACTGCACACACCTTGAGAGCACGGCCAGGGATGCCGTCAGGCCCAGGAGCCCTATGTGTGTTGATCTTTTTTAGGGATCTGCACACATCTGCACTGGTTAGAACCAGGGGGCAGGGGCAGGGATCCTGAGCCTTCTGTACCTCCACAACCCGGGGGTCTCTCAAAGCGTGCATAAAATGTGTTCAGTTCATCTGGGAGAGAAGCACACACTTCCTCGGCACCACTTGTTGTTCTTTTATAGTCTGTTATAGTTTTTAGTCCAGACCACATGTTTCTAGCGTTGGAGCCCGTAGTCAGACTCCACTTTGTTCTTRTATTGTCTTTTAGCACTGCTAATAGCTCTCCGGAGCGCATACCTGGAGTTCCTGTATTCATCCAAATCACCGGCGCTGTGCGCAACAGCCCGAGCTTTGAGTTTGGCTCGGACCTCGCCATTTATCCAGGGCTTCTGATTTGGGAATGTTCGTACAGTAATCCGCGGCACGACATCATCGATGCATTTGCCGATGTAGCAAATGACCGCGTCTGTGTGTGTTGATGTCCTCCTCCTCAAACACACACCACTCCATGGTGCTGAAGCAGTGTTGGAGAGCAGAGTCTGACTGCTCGGTCCAGCGCTGGACTGTCCGTGTCACAGGTCGGTCTCTTGTCAGTCTCTTCCGGTAAACGGGGAGCAGGAGAAGAGATAYGTGGTCCGACTTGCMAAAGGGGGGGCGGGGGAGGGCTTTGTATCCATTGCGAAAGGGAGAGTAAACATGGTCCAGTGTATTTCCACCGCGCGTGGGGCAGCTGACATGCTGATAGTATTTCGGCAGGACTTTCTTCATGTTGGCGCTGTTAAAATCCCTGGCCACAATAAAGGCAGCCTCCGGCCTCGAAGTCTCTGTCCTGTCGATAACTCCATACAGCTCCTCCAGCGCTGTGTTCTTGTCAGCGTGCGGCGGCACATACACTGCTGTTAGAACCACAGATGTTAACTCCCTCGGCAGGTAAAAAGGCCGGCATCTGATCATGATGTGCTCTAAGCTGGGAGAACAGTCCGAAGAAATTATCTCCACATCTGAGCACCAGTTGTTGTTGATCATAAAGCAGACACCCCCTCCCTTACTCTTCCCTGAGTTTATTGTCCGGTCCTGGCGATGAATGGAGAATCCGTGCGGGACAATGGCTGCGTCCTGGATCGATGGGTCAAGCCAAGTCTCTGTGAAAACCATAACGTTACAGTTCTTAATGTCCCGTTGAAATGCCATCCTGCTTCGGAGTTCATCCAGTTTATTATCCAGGGATTGGACATTTGCCAGAAGTAAGCTCGGTAGAGGAGGCCGGTTTTCGCGTTTCCTCAGCCTGACTAGGACCCCGGCCCGGGATCCTCGCCGTCTTTGTCTCCTGCGCCCCCCAGGTAAAGCGCCAACAGGTAGCCACGGATACTCGCCATTGTAGTTGTTTGCTGGTCGCGGCGGGTTTTTGCTGTTTGCCAGCAACCTGATGAGTAGAAGTTGTTCTCTATCATATTGAATGATAGGGCTCGCTTGGGCCGTTTGCACGCTGCAAAAAAAGTTAAAAATAGACTGAAAAAGTACAACATAAAGACACTAGAAATGAGGAGTAGGTGAGGAGCTCGAGTCACGGCAGCCATCCTCGGTGCCATGACACACCCACAGGGAAACAGAGTTACATGGGGTAGTGGTTGAAATCTTCCCTACAAATAGGGACAGCACTTCAAGAAGCAGTTACAATAGTCGTCGTGAAAACCTGAAATGTCATCAGTAGTCATCGATATGAAAAGAGGTAGCAAAATTTTTGCCGGGGATGTCATTATAATAACATTGTTGAGATCTTAAATAAACCAATGCTATTGTTTGCAGTTACCAAAGTGATAAACCTAGAATATCCTAATAACATCTAGGCTAATGCAGGTGAATCAATGGCATTTGCAATTTATCCAATGCAAATTGAAAAACTTTCACGCATAAATCAAAAGCACATAGCTTCAGTTTGCAGTGGACTGTATTCAACCCTGCCAGGATGCATTGTTATTAGAAGAGCAGTTAAATTCAGTAACATCGCTACTATACGCTGGTTAAATCAAGTTCATCATGTATCTTCAAAGAGGGGTGAGTGTGACATAAAATTATATGAAAATACAGGATTATCACATAAAATCTGGTGATTCAAAAGGCATTCTGGTAAATTCCCATAGCCCTCAGTTTGAAGTGTTGGTCTGAAAAATCTCTGTTTTGAAGACTTGGCCCTCCCCCTTCGTCCCAACAAGTATTTGGACAGCACTCCCCTACACAGGAATGCACAAAACTGAGGAGAAGGTCAAAGGGTAGAGAGAAAGGGTGAGATTAGGCCCAAAGGGGATTGGGCCTAAGGCATGATTGAGAATTTGTGCATAATTGAATGAAAGGAGTGATCTAATCTTGGCAATAATCCTGATTTGACTGATCAATTTCAATTTTTTGACTGA